TAACAAAATAGAAAATTACACAAACAAATACAAATTAAATGAAAGATTAAACAGGGAAAATTCAAAAAAAGCTAAGAAAGATATGATAGAGTCATATTTCAACTACGATTTTGCTTAAATTACGACGCAAAGATTATGACTATGAGCACATAACACCAGTAAACATGTTTCGTCTTGTATCCCGTTCCTTGCCTCAATTGCAAATTTCTTTCAATAGTTCAGTAATCAGTTTTACTTGGTAGCTTATTAGTGAGTGTATAATTTTCCTCAAGTAAAGTATGTTTTATAGTGAGACTAAATCTGTTTTGAACTGGATTTTTTACACGATAACTAGGTTTTTTACACGGTAACTGGGTTTTGTTAACTGAGTTGAGCGTTTGCTCCACGTCAGGGCCAATGTAGAGACAACTATAAATATAATTGGGCATTATCCGCCTAGTTGATAACGTGAATTGGCCACCGGTCAGAGCGAATGACTCAAAACAAGAGCTGTAGAAACTCTACGGTGGCCAATTTACGATTATCGACTCAGTTGACTTTTGATAACCACGTCAGTTGATGAAACCAAATAATCTTGTTTTATCGTCCAACTGTGCTTCGCAGAGTACAAGTAACGCGTGAGACGAGTACAAATATTGCGCGATATTTGTACTCCAGAACTATCTGCGAAATTCGCCCGAACTGAAATAACAATTTGGTATGATGGATAATCAATCTCTTACAATGAATATATGAAGTTCATATATTTTGGACTGCGGCATTAAATACGCATGATGCACGATCCTTCGCAGTAGATAGCGCTATTTATGCAATAGCGAAAATCAGACCTGAGCCTGTACGGGATTCGAACCACTGACCTCTGCGATACTAGTGCAGCGCTCTACCAATTGAGCTAACAAGCCAACTGGGAGCAGGCCATTAAGTTGATTCGTAATAAACCCGTGATGATAAATCAGATACAATGAATATATGAAGTTCATATATTTTGAACTGCGGTNTCAGGTCTGATTTTCGCTATTGCATAAATAGCGCTATCTACTGCGAAGGATCGTGCATCATACGTAATCAATCTCTTGTTAGACGTTGTGCAGTATCGCTGAGTCGTTTTAATCGTTGTTTGTATCTTGATTCGTCCTACGCCGGGGTTCGTCGAAATACGGCACAACTCGTAAAATTCTCAGCGATACTACACAACAAAACTTCTAGTAAGATATGTAAATCCCCCACTGACACAGCAGGACAGTGTCTGAAAAAACTTATTTCCTTTCCTCTTTAATTTTCAAGTTTGGGACGTAAGAGGTATCAGGTGTCTTATCACGAAAGGGAACCTGGAAATATTAGGGAAATCTCAAGCCCATTTTATGGCCATAGCGTTTACTCCGGCCGACCAACAAGCAATATTTACCTGCCTGGTCGCGAAAATGCTGCAGTGGTTGGTGTAGACGGAAGACCAGTTAAGGTAAAGGTGCACTTTCTAATCAAACTCACTCTTTCGTTCTTCCATGCACTCTATCCTTTCATTGAACAGACTGGCAGGTTAATATGACTGCCTTATGCCACACTAATAAACACAAATGATACTAGAGTATGATATATGTTCTTGTTATATTATAGAATGTAGCTTACGAAAACGAAGCAGCTGCCATAGACATGGAAATAAAGAGCTCCAAAGACTCGCCCCCAGCAGAAAAAGGTCAGAAGGATTCTATGCTGACCGAGAAAAGAATGGGAACGAAAGGAACTTTTGAAAATGCTGCCTATGATAGTGTAGAGGAAAAACAGTCAAAGGAGCATACCTATGAAAGCATTGATAACGTTAGCACCACACGCTACACCACAACTCGTATTTCGTACTCTAAGAACGTGACTTCAGATCTGTAAATGAAAACCTAACGTTGCTCCTAAGGACGGAGGGAAGTCAAGTTTTAATCAAAGCGCCGCTTTAGTTTAAAGGGTTGTGCAAAGTAAGCTCGTCCTAATTTTCTTGCACATAAATGCATAAAATGAAGCATTTAAAAGTTATTCTGCTTATGTCAACTAAGTTGGAATTGTAAATTGGCCACCGTAACGAGTTAAAAAGCTGATGTTTCGAGCGTTAGCCCTTCATCGGAGCGAAAGAAAAGTTAGGTCGTGATGCTGGGGTATTCTTATACTGAGAAGATGGATTGTAGATGCTTTTAACAAATAGAATAGAAACAGCCATCTAGCTTGTCCAGGTGCCCAGTTAGTAAAGCCAAACGCCATAGTTAACTGCGCAAAAGTAGCGGAGAGGTGAAAAAACCGAGAAAGTCTGGGCCGGGACCCGACTAAACCTAACCTCCCTCACTTTTTCACTCAGCCGTTACTATCGCACTGTCAATTATTTAGCTCCGTTTTACTTACTAAAATCCTGGAAAAGGCTAACGAAGAACTTCATCTTTCAAAAGACAAGGAGAGAGTAAGAAAAAATGTAGTGTTGCTGTCTCTGGAACTCAATGTTACTCACATGTTACCGTGGTCCTCTTTTACTATATTACGAATTTTACGAAGATTAGTGGCTCGTAATAACTTGTTTGGCGAAACGCCAGCATTTATTTAGCTACTTCAATCATCGTGAAGCCTCCTCAAGAGGTAAATTGATTGTTAATTATCAACTCCCTTTAAGCATCTCGTTTAGCACTAATAAGCCTATGAGAATGACTGCAGGAACGTACTATTGCGACTATTTGCGTTAAAAAAAGGTTTCTATACTTCGTCAGTGAATTGAGCCACCAGCATATTACAATATAGCAGCTAAGTGATACTCTTAAAAAAAAAATTTTACTCGAATCCCCACTATCGATAAGTTTGAGTCATCAATGATAAACCGAAATTTTCACAGTATGTAGTTATCAACTAAAAGAGATTTCTTGTTTAAATTTGGTAAGGAAAAAAAAAAACATAAAAAGAAGACACCTCGGCGAAATTATGCATTGATCAATACCGAGCTTCAACATTCCCCCACCACGTACACTGATGCGTATAGTTAATACTAATACTGTTTATGTATTTTGCTAGAATAAACAAATAGGCAATTTTACAGTTGTGTACTTAGTTGCCAAGCCTTCGACTTGGAGTGAGGCTAAAGGTAACCTTGTCGTGATAGAGACCTGTATCTAAGTTTGCATGATAACAAAGTGATTTACATTTGAAAGGCAGCAAGGTTTGTATCATAGCAAGGTCACCCCTAGCCACTCCCGTTGAAAGGCTTGGCAACCAAGCATACAACTGTAAAAATGGATTATTACTCACCGTTAATAACAATGGGAGAAAGATATCACTCTTATCGTTCTAGAAGTCACAAGCGTAAACAGACTTTTCTAATAAAGGATATCTTGCGCTAGGCAATGAGTAAGAAAGTCACATGTGTACACATCAGAATTATGTTTGTATCTTACCCTCTTGACTCTACTACTAACTTTTCGTGCCAGACAACTGACTTCTGTTCACGCGCTCGCGCGTTAGATATTTCGAATAAATGTGTTTTGGGACTGGTAAGAGTCGGTCAGCGGTTTAGGCACTAATCGACCAGCATTTGGGAACGAAACCAATCAAACTTGGGACGAATCGACTGCATTTGTGCACAAAACGACCGGGTAGGAAAAGACCATGGGTATGAAATGACCGGACACCTTACACGCACACCATCTCCCTGTAACAGCTTGAAACAATCCAATACTACCGAGGACAAGTGAAAAATATTAAATTACCTCTCAATACATCTTAAACTTGAGGGTTCATAATCTTCTCTGTTTTTACTTCAAACAGAGCGAATGAACTCAACAAATATATGTTTTAATTCCTCAGGTGCTATGATTTGTAACCCTCGTTAGTCGTTCTTTTGCTTTCTGAAAAATAAATCTAAAGTTTCAAATCTCGCTCTGTTTTTTCTTTTAATAACAATGGTAGAAAAATATCACTGTTGTTAAAAAAGTCACAAGTATAAACAGACTTTTCTAATAAAAGATATCTTACGCTAGGCAATTATGAAGAAAGTCACATGTGTACACATCAGAGTTATGTTTGTATCTTACCCACGTGACTCTACTAATGACTTTTCGCACCCGACAACTGACTTCTGTTCACGCGCTCGTGAGCTAGTTATTTCGAATAAATGTATGTCGGGGCGGGTAAGAATCGGTCAACGGTTTAGGCACGAATCGACCAGCATTTGGGAACTAACCGAATCAAACTTGGGTACGAATCGACTGCATTTGGGCACAAAACGACCGGGTAGGAAAAGACCATGGGTATGAAATGACAGGACACCCTACAAGCACATCATCTCCATGTATCAGCTTGAAACAATGCAATACTACCGAGGACAAGTGAAAAATATAAAAATACCTCTCAATACATCTTAAGCTTGAGGGTTCATAATCTTCTCCGTTTTTACGTCAAACAGAGCGAATGAAGTCAACAAATATATGTTTAATTCCTCAGGCGCTTTGGTTTGTAACCCTCGTTCGTTGTTCTATTGGTCTCTAGAAAAATCCAAAGTTTCAAATCTCGCTCTGTTTTCTCTTTTGTGTTTTTTTGTCTTTTTTTTTTTCTCGATGCTTTTCACATAATCCTCCACAAAAATTTAGTAAGAGACAAATCACTTATCCTTTGCGAGTGATTTTATTACAAAAATACACCTGAGAGCGGAATCTAAATTACTATTTAATCGATCGGTTTGAAAAGCGAAACACTGCTATTAGAGGTTTAAAGTGGATCGCCTTGATAAAGTTTACAGATGAAACAAACTATTCATTTGTTTTAATAAAAAAACTGCGTTCTCTTGCTTTTATGACGTAACTAGTTACGTGCGGGCTCCATAAACTGATGAAGCATTCGCTTAGAAACTAACTTGATCATTCATACGATGTTCACTATGTTATAATGGCCAATTGCAGGGCTCTAGTAAAAACGTGTATCCATCAACACCTGTGATCAGTAATTTTCGCATCACCCTCTCAATCAATTTTGAAAGGAGAACAAAAAAAAAAAACTCCGGGAGTAAAGGAAGCCCTATTCACACGATTTAATACCATGATCTCGACTGTGGGTGATATTTAATTGGTTTTTTTGTTTGCTAGTTCTCTCTGCTTGCGATGCCTTAGTAACAAACCAAGGGAAGGAAACCCAACCAGAGCAGTTTGAACCATCCACTTGAAACTTGTGACACGCGAAAACAGCATCCTCCTGCAAGGCGATAAGTCTTTGTTTATTATCAGTCGGTACAGCTTATCAAAGTTTACACTGCGAGCAGAGCCTTTTTAACCCGTCCTCGAATCGAAAAGGGAAAAAGGCTCTGACGACATAATGTTGTTGCACGTTTGAACATGCGCGGCGGTTGCCTAGAAACTGATCCTTTCCACGCCGCCTTGAACTATTTCCGGTTCCGGTAAACTTCGTCAACAATCGTCAACTTCGGATAGTATTCGTGCCACAGGAATAACAAGTTGATAAATGAGAGCCACGAATTCGCTTATTCCTCTTTCTTGGTAAGTTGACAAATTAAACGGCTTGCCATGAAATGAATTGCTAAGACTTCGCTAACAGCACTTCGCACGATTGACGGCATATTGCATTTGTGGGCGCAGATTTGGTCATCTGTTTACAAGAAAAACAAATGCGTGCGCACCAAAACCGGTTTGACTGGAGGCAAAACCGGCAGTTTTGGGCTTTCGGTATTCAAAGCAACAACAGGATGTCGGCAGAGCCTTTTCCCTTGGAGGGTTAAAAAGAAAAAAGGCTCTGCTCGCAGGGTAATCAAAGTTGTGCTCTGAGGAAAATCACCCAGACGTCTGGAGTCCCTCATTCTAAAAATTCTGGGCAGCAAGCTATTCAAATCTTTCTCTGTGCTAATTAGGCCATCTGAACTGACCTAACATATTGAAATTCACCTCAAGGAATAAAAAAATTACTATAGCATATAATCTTCCAAAAATTAATATGTACCATCTGTACTTGTAAATAGGTGACAAAGGCCAACTTTCTTGTTAAGGTTTTAACAAATACATTATTTTATACCATAAACAAAGTAAAGCCCATACTCTGATTGGTTAATTTATTGTCCACCATTTGCTCAAAGGTGTAAGCTGCTGACATGAACAAATACAAAGACTAGTTATCTCTCTGTTTGTTTTATATGGTCACATAAGAACTGCTTAATAAGAGGGAACTCTTTTGCTACAATGTATCAATGTTATGATATAAAACAAATGGTAAACACCACAGTGTACACTATTGAATTATTGATGCACTTGGGAGGTTTGCTAAGCACTCAAAAAGCAAGATCTGCTCTCTGCTATTGCCTTGCGGGACTCTAATGATTCTTTCTTGCTTAGCAACCTCCTGCATGCATCCATAAACCAATGATGTATGCTGTGGTGTTTACCATTTTGTTAAGCACATGTAACCAAATTCACAGTAACGTGTAAGTGACAATACAGCGCAAACAATCAGGCCCATTTCTCGGTTAACAATCAAGATGCAAAGTTCAACACAATTTATACTTTCAAGTGTGTGACATATTTCAGAAAGAAATGCTTAGATCCAACTCGAACAATTTCATAACTCTAATAGCCATATTAAAGAATAACAGCAGGGAGTAACTTTAGATTAACAGAACTCACTTCTTACCTACAAATCCTGTAGGCAAATCCAGCTTCTAACAAATGGGCAATAACTGCAAATCTAAAACTATACAAGAATTATAAAGAATCAGATCGCTGAGATTTTCCAAGGCAAGAAATAAGATCTGATACATAATTTAATTTAACTTATGTTTAATTCCCCTTCTATTTATTTTGTAAGAGAAGTAACTTACACACCAGCATACAAGCTGCACCTTTTTCTCTAAAATTGTCATAACACATCAGGGGTGGAGGTTATCTGGGAGAAGATCTGGAGGACATGCTGCAAATCTGTATGAACTCACACGGCGCAGAGTAGTTTATACACCAGTGTTTCTGGCAAATAACTACAGCCCCNCAGTTCCCACCACTTCATTGCTAGATTACGCATTGATATCCCAAGGAGAATTTATATGTTAGTTACTACTGGACACATTAAGGGATTGGCTGCTTTTTAAGCCTTATGGGTGCTCACTCCAAAGCAGGTTTCATTGTGTATCTTTTTCATTTTCAAAGCCTCTTGTAGGAAATCATTCAGTAAAAGTAAGTACAATTAAGCAAACAGCATGATATTGGCTGAGGAGTGAATAGACAGGGGAGGTTTGGGGTTGAAACTCTGACCCAAATCTCCCTCAACTTTTCTCTCTGCTGCTACTATTGCCTTAGCATGCTCACTACTTTGCTCACGCCACTGGCCGTCTGGTAAAGTCCTCCACACAGTATTGTAAAGCGCATTTGATCATATCCACATGTTAATTTGCATGATACAATTCCTAATTCATTCATTCATTCATTTTTCAAACCAAATGCCTGGAACAGGCTGGTGCTCATGATAGTGCTGATTTACCATTTTACCCCTTTAACCCCGTCCTAGATCTGATTGTAAATTCTCACCTCTGGCTGCAACATATTTCCTCATAAATGAGTTGCGAGAATTTAGTGTCAATCAAAATATCCACTTTTTTCCTGATAAGTTTCAATATTTTAGTTACTGGCTTCTTGGATATCATGTAGATATTATTTGGGAGCTAATTCTGGGTTTACACACGTTAAAATTTTTTGCCGACTGAGCTGGAGTTAGAAATGGGAGCTGGTGCGCATCACCCAATTTGGAATCTCCAGAACTTAAAATATCTAACATATTGTGACACGTTAAATAATATTTACAATACTCACAATAATAATGATAATGATAATAATATATTAATATTGATAATAACATATTCATATTGATAATAATATATTAATAATGATGATAATATATTAATAATGATAGTAATATATTAATAGAGTTAAGAGGATATCAATTTCAGTTTACTTACCCAAGCCTCAAAAATTTTAAATGATGTTTTGCCAAATACGAAACAAAAGTTCCAGCTGGACCCATGGCATGCAGAGGCACAACATCTACGTTGTAGCAAACAAACTAGAAGAAAGTTTACATGAAAATCAGTAAGGTCTTAATAATTCAAAATATTTCACCAATGCGGATTGATTAATTTCACCTTTAAAAACCTCCTGGCTTAGTTCCATTGCGAGACTTCGACGCCTTTTAGCAACGTAATGTTGTTTTAAATCAGTTAAGGAAAGTGAGCTCGTAATTCGATTGAGCAAATATGTACACTCACTCATCAACTCTTATAAAAATACAAACGACACTCACCCAGTAAAAGATCATGAGAAATATTATTATGATGCTTATTGGCAAAGAAGATAACTGAAAGAAATCCCCTTCATATAACGCTGGATTATCTTTCGAGTTATCCTTCCTCGTTGTTACACGCGGAGGGGCCATCTTGGAACGCAGACTCCTTTTTTCAGCGGTTGTCGCACTAAGTTAAATTTGATGACAAGTACATAACAACGTGAGTCGATGTTCGAGAAAAAATGGCGGACAGATTCTAGAATCGTGGTTATGTCGAGAGTTTAATATGGTGATCATTGGTCGTATTTTAGTCTTTTTTGGCTTGGCTGCTATATTGCATGCTGGCTACTCTGCAGTTCAATGTAAGTATTGATGGTTTTTGATGTGTTTGATGTGTGTTTTTTTTTTAAGTATTAACACAGGCAATAATTTGCCAAGGTCATGTCGATCAGCATAGGTTTCGGCTTTGTCACCTCTCCTTTCTGGTTCATCAAAACTCTTGGAACAGTCTATCTGACTAATTAATAATCAAATTTTCAGTTCTAACTCTTTAATGGGTTGGAGACCAACGGATGCGAAGGCATTATCAAAAACCTTATGTGAAATTTTGTACTGATTACGCTCTCTTTGAAAAAGAACTTTGGGCAACTTATCCTTTCAAAACAACTTATCCACCGAAAAAATATTAGCCTTTCTTCGCTGCTTCATCGTTGAAATTTATGGTAAAAATTTTTTGAAGTTTATCCTTTTTGCTTTTCAACACCTACATGTCATACTGCGCGACGTTTAACCTGATGTAAATTTCTCCATTAAGGATACATTGCCCATTTGGTAGTCGTAATCTTCAGTTTGGTTTGTACACATTTTGAACCCAATAAACTCCAGGGTTTGTTTACTCTCTTAGCCGGTCAAATCGAGAGATTTAGATGCGTGGTGACGGGTGTTTTGATTGGCTCTGAACCTTGAAAAACCCAAAAAATAAATCTTGTTGCTTCTTAGCCCTCTTAATAAATCCTTCTTTGTACAGGGTTTGTACAGGTCATGGAAAACCTGGAAAGTCATGGAATTTCAAATTTTCAAATTTTCAAATTTTCATTTTCCAGGCCTGGAAATTCATGAAATTTAGGTGTGGGTCATGGAAAGTCACGGAAGATCAATATGCTCTCTATGAGTGAAAGGCAATAAGACCCAAAGTTGAAAAGTTAACTGACGAGTCCCAAAATCAGATTTAATTTCATTAGAAATAAACAGAAGCATGCATTGTGAGAATGTTTGCAAACAGGTCATGGAATCTTTCAAAAGGTCATGGAAAAAGTCATGGAAAGTCATGGAAAGTCATGGAATTTTAACAGATCAAAAGTGTATGAACCCTGTTCCAGCTGTAAGACTTGTTTTTGCTCCTGGGGTAGAGACCAGTTTTATGTAGCAGTTGTGGCAATTGCACATAGTTAAAGTAGGATGCATGTGAGAAAAGCATATATGGGGTTTTGTTGGCAGTTACACACATATTGTGGAATGAGGAAACATGTACTTTGTATTAGGTGTCTTTTTAAAGCCCAGGACTGGGTTGTTCAAAGAATGATTAAGCAAACTGAGCAATTTTAGCCAACAGTTTTTATTTTTTAGTTTTGTAGCTTGGCAGACAGTTTTAATTGTTTTAATTTTTTTCCTTCAGTTTTGTCTTGTGCTAAGGTAAACACCTCAAAACTTAAGCCTTAATACATGTTTTATTTCTAGAGAAATCAAAGACAAATTAACCCCTAAACTCCCATGAGTGACGAAGACAGAACTTCTCCTTACAGTATCAATACAACATCAAGCAGACAAGAGATGAGAATGAAGAGAAATATCAATGAGGGGATTATTGGTCGATCTAATACCAAATTCCCCGAACTAACATCATGAGAATTGTGTGACAGACCGTAAGGAGAATTATGAATGAAATCTTGGGAAGAAAAGGATTAAACTTGTAATCCTGGAGTATCAGTAACCACTTTTCGAACAATTGGCCCGGGATTTTTGTGTTTCCTCCTTATGAACTATAAGATGTAGCAGGCAGCAATGGTAACTGTGGGCAAAACTGTTAGCGTGAGAATTAATGTCTTAATTTTACAGGTCGAACCTATTACAAGTTGCTGGAAGAAGAATTTCCTGGCCTGCCTCCCGATGTAAGTGAAGCCTGCTCCTGCTTTAGAAGCAGTGCTCGAAATTAAAAAAAAAATCCAGGTTGTCCCTATTTCAAAAGCTGGGCAACCAAAGCCTCAAGCTTGAACTAATCCTATAGTTCTTAGTGTACCGCAATGGTTTTCGTGGAAGTCTGGGTTTAAGTTGTGGCATATTCAAAATGGCGTCTTCGATCTTGATTGCCTCCAGACAAGAAACTTTTTGTTTGCCTCTTACATTTTCGTACCTGGCAGTGTTTTATAAAATTTACGCAGGAAAACACCCAAAACAAAGGAAAACGCTTAGCTGAGGCAACTTATTATTAACTTCACACTACGGGACATTGACAAAACTAAACCGTCACGAAGGTCAGGTGCTGTTTATGGTTAATTTATTTTCTTTTTTTGGCTGGGTTGTCCGTTGTTTTTTTTCTCCGGACAACCAGCCTCTTAATTTTACTAAAAATTGGTTGCCTGGTAAACTTTTGGGTCGTCTCGGATAACCAGATGACTGCTAATTTTGAGCACTGTAGAAGCACTTTTTTTTATAGTGGAACATTGCCACCCCAGGACAAATTCCATAACTGATTCAGTCATTTTCTTGTTTGTAATCATCTGCTGACTAGTTTTATAATGGGGCTATAATTACCAAATTCTGATGTTGATTGTGGTTGTTATGTGGTAGAGCTGAAACCTCTGTGCTTACATAAACTATATCATTAATCATTGTATCGTAATATGTATCATGATTTTACATTATAATCATTACACTATATCATTATTTGGAAGCTGTTTGGACTGAGTGGCTAGGGTGCTGGGCTTGTAAACTGTGGTGGCCTCAGGCTCAAGCCCTCTATTATATTACTCAATGAATTTGTTGTCAGTTGTCTTCAGTTCAACTCCTTGGGTACACCTGGTATGTAAAGTGTAGCCAACCAGAGGTTTTTAAACATCTATTTTATTCATGTTTCATATTGTTAGCATTGGCCCTTAAAAGGCCTACTAGAAAATTGGTCAATACAGTATACATATCAAGGCTGTGCCCTTGATATGTCAACTGTATGAATGGAGCCCAGTGCTCTGAAACTGTGAAATCCAAGATGCCCAGCATATGCTTTGTATGAAAAAACTACAATTCCTGAATTGCCGAAGAGCAAAAGTAAGGCTCCAGGGGCCACCTGGCGTTGTTAGATTACAGCCTTGCATGTGTATGAAAGTTATCCTTGCACTAATAAGCTCCCAGTTGGCTTGTTAGCTCAGTTGGTAGAGCACTGCACCTGTATTGCAGAGGTCATGGTTTTAAATCCCATATGGCCTGAATTTTTTTTCAGGCGTTAATTCCTTATTTATTTTTTTCAGGCCTTATTTCCACTACTACATAAGAAGGCTTTATTACTGTGAGGATTGCTTTCATGCATTAATTTTCATGAAACTGCACCACACACATCTAATTTCCATATAATTATTTAAATTCACATTGTACATACAGATATATACACGTACATCATTATGTACCTACAGTAGTTGTTAGTGCTATCCAGCCTTTGAATCACTGGGACCTCTTGCGTCATTTTGCTTAATATTTAATTTTTGTAGGTGTGCATCCAGTGTATCATAGGGCTGATCATAGCCTGCCTAGGTGTGGCTAGAATGGCTGGAGAATTTAAAGAAATCAGAGCAGCTGCTGAAATGGCCAACAAGTAAGTCAAATACATAGTACTATGTCTGAATGTTTGTGTGATATGCGAGAAAAAGAATTGACCTTGCTCTGAAGTAAACAACAGAATTAGGCAAGACACTTTACTCTCACAGTGCCTCTCTTCACCCAGGTGTATAAATGGGTACCGGCAATTTAATGCTGGGGGTAACCCTGCGATGGACTAGCATCCCATCCAGGGGGGAGTAGAAATACTCCTAGTTGCTTCATGCTACAGAAACCGGAGTTAAGCAGCGGCCTAATGGGCCACTAGGCTCGTAAAACAGACTTTACTTTTAATCAGTTAATGAGTGGACTTTCTTTTATGATAATAATCAATTTTCTGCAACAGCCAGCAAAGAAATACTGTAGATGGTCTCTCAATTGGGAGTGGGATGTTGAGAAGCGTTGCCTCGGTGGTTTTTAGCCTCCTCCAGGCTCCTGTTTGTTGTTCAGCAATAACGTCATTAAATAACTGTGATTATATGAAAATTATGTATTTATGTGAACTGTGGGATTACTTTAGAAATTAATATCAAAACTTATCGCAGTAATAAATACTACTTGAGCATTAGTAAAAATATGACCTGAAAAAAAAAACAAAAAACAAAAAACAAAAAAACAAAAAAAAATCAACCATTGTAACGACCAGCTCCCAGTTGGCTTGTTAGCTCTGTTGTTAGAGCAATCCATCGGTATTGCAGAGGTCATGGGTTCAAATCCTGTAGAGGCCTGATTTTTTGAGGCCATATTTTCACTACTGCTCAATTAATGTTCATTGCTGTGAAGATCGCTCTGCTTTTCATTAATGTAATTTAAGAGTTGAATACCATTCTCTGGGATTTTACCTTCTTTCCAGGAGCTGGGAATCATTTGGCAACCGGCCTTCATTTTACACCTACAGTCATAGAGGAAAGAACTTATTTTTAGGAAATGAAGTATCTTATCCGTCGTGTGATCCTGTACCTTTATACAACCATGAAGTATCTTTGTCGTGAATTATACAGACTCTCTGAACTTAAAGAAGCTACTAGGATTCAAAGATCGTGGCTTGACTAGCAATTATTGGCTCATGACTTTTCCTCGGATGCTGCCAACAGACTAGCGGACTCTTATACAAAGCAACTGAATGATGCCAGAATATTTTATTATGTTAAAACTACAAATTTGTATTTGTCAACAGTGTTTACCCTTTCATGAATTGCTTAATATGTTCTTAGGGAAGGCTTACTTGTACTAAATAATTTGGATAGATCAACAAAGTTGAAATGGTAAATTGGCCACCGTAATGATTACAAAAGCTGACGTTTCGAGCGTTAGCCCTTCGTCGGAGCGAATAGAGGAATTGTGGGTTGTGTGTGCTTTTAAAGGCAGAAAATGGAGCTACGTTATTGGTGGGTGCATGGCAACGAGAAAAACATGAATAAATTAGTGGAATGAAAAGCGTTCATTGATCCCTGTGGGATTTAGACTGCCGGTTTGAAAGATGAGCTTTTGTTCAAGATTTTTACGGCTTTCCGTGCCACCTAAGTGCAAGGAAAGACCGCAGATTGCCATATGTTGCTTAGAATGATTAGGTAAATTAAAATGTCTAGCGACTGGTTTCGATGTGTCCTTGTCATTCCTTTCCACGTCTCGAAGGTGTTCTCNGGCAGTGCGGTGTTCGTGTCGGTTAGGCGTTTGACTTATTAAACTATTTTAATCGGCGGTGTGGTGCCTGACGATTTTGCATTTCAAATGCAATTACAACGAATTCAAGGCGGAGATGCTAAGCATTTTGACAACGGCGTTTTCAGAAAACTGTCGCTTTTGTTTTCCGTTTCAACGCCTTGACGTTGTAGTCATAAAGGGAAAACTACTCATCTGGTTTGATTCCTGACCTCATTAGCAATGTCCTCCGCTTCAAAAGGAGTGTATCGGTTTACATGAACAGGTGAAACAAAATGAAAATGTTCAAAAAAGGTACGTTTTCCAAAGCTTTTGTCTTCGACATTTTTACTATAATGGTTCAACTAACCCTTGGACCATAATGGTACATAAGCAATTTCTTTTTTTGCAGGTTGAAAACTATTTCCAGTGATTTCCATTGTATACGGTTGAACGAATCAAAAACTAAAAATGAACTCTAACTTTAAATTTGAAACTTTCTTGAGGTTTCAAAACGACATTTTTTTTTTTTAATAGAAGAGTCATTCGAGTCAGTTCAGGAAACCTTCCCACGCTATTAAACGGAAAAGTTCGTTTGCTGAAGTTTCTGTCTGCTGTATTTCTAAGAATCGGAGGAGTAAATTAGTCCAGTTCATCAGTAAATCGTTAATTTGATTTAATAATTCAATGTGACTTTACAGAGTTCTTTGGAGTGAACACTTTCACTCTGGTTCCAGGCAATATATAAAGTTCAAAGCAACTTAAAATATGAAAGCAGAAACGAACATAAGAGTAATTGCGATAGCATTAACATTATAGCATTTAGCTTTCATCCTCAGTATTTCTCAATCCTTTCCATTTTAAACTGTTAATTGTAGTATTTGTAGGTCACGTGATGTAAGATGATGCAATACCTGAAGAATACAGTTGAGTTAATGTCTGCTGTGCACTACACGTGTTTACTGTTTGTTCTTTTATTTCGCTTCTAATATCCTTCAGGATACAAAATTAATCAAGGCGGTTTCATTGAAAACTTTATCGAAATCCTCACTGCTACGTTCATTGTACCTCCATATTCAGGAAAATAATCTTTATATCAACTAAATCTAAGCATGAAATCAAACTTAAGTAAAGACTTTGATCTTGGAAATCATAAAGATCATGCTTTCATCAGCCAGTTGCATTTATTTTTTAGCTCTGTATTTGTAACAGCACCGCTTACTTAACAATTGATTTGTTGGTAAATCCTCTCTTTAGTCAATTTTTTATGAAATCATGTTCTTTTCTAACTAAGGAAAATTGTGCAATCGAAGCGAGTATATTTTCAAGAATATTACCGTATTTATAGTTCCAACCTCTTTCCATGCGGAAATTAAAAGTTTCTTCAAATTTTCTGAAAAGGCAGCATTTATAAAAACATCTAATTTATATCGCAGCAGTATTTCAAGACGATCTACCAGGACAAACCAACATAAGAACAAAATACCGAAAAAAAAAAAAACTTGAATAAAACCCTGGCAGCTTCAAAAATGCATCCGAAACCGCTAATTGCTTTAGTTCTCTTATGGCCATTGTAAACTTTAGGATTTTTATCCAAGANTTAAAAGCTCGTAACTTTTGGAAAATGTCGGCAACGGAGTTACAAACAGCGGAAGAAGACAGTAAAAACAAAGAAAAAATAAAACGACCTTCTTGGGTTTATTGTGCCAGAAACAAAGTTGGCTTTCTTTCCCGGCTCTTCAAATATAAATGTCATTCTTGATTCTTATTAAAGCGAAGTAATTTTGCTATATAAGAATTATCTTATTAACTAAGGTAGCTTACTCGGTCAAGATAGCTGAATATTAGCCTGGTTCCTTTTTTTTTTTTTTTCTTTTTTTTTTTTTTGCTTTTCAATGGACCCCGACCTCGTCTCGGTCCTTAAAACGCAAAAAGAAGAACTCGGCCAATATCCAGCTAACTTGAAGTTACGCTTGTTGAAGAACGCATATTTATTTGATCGAAGTTTGAGTACTCTACACTCAGCGAACATCATTTTCTGTCCAATCTATGTCGTGTATTTCAACGTACAAGAACATACTCGTTATACTTAATTGTAGCGCTATGAGCTTGTCTGACTCCATGAGTACTTCATGCTTCGCGCTTCGTTGATGTATGTATTTATATATTTATATGTTATGTGATAGGTTTCATGATCAGTTTAGTTTATTTTGAAATTCATTGGTAATAAACCGTATTTCAAAATCTGTCAACAGCCCGGCCTTGACTATGAGCTTGCAATCAATGCGAAACAAGAAATCTTATTTTCCTTAAATGACCTTTCTAAAAGCGGATACTTGAACCAATACGATAAAACTCAAACACATTTCTGAGCCCCTTGTAAAAGACACTCTGATCTTGACACTTCATTGTAAACACAGCTGTTTAATTTGTTTTGTTTTTTTTTTTGTCGAATTCAGTATTCCCTCATTCCTTGAAGCTTTAGGTTTAGGTAAGATTAGAGACAACCTCGTTCCCAGGGCCTTTTCCTTTAGGTTCCCAAGGTTGGATCAGAGACTGGACGAGGTAAGCTTTGTGTTTCGACCCAAGCCCTCTCCGATTTCTTTCCCTGCCGCTTGGAGTATCTTCCAAACAGTCTACCTAGGCCTCCTGCGGAGAAATCATTTCCACAAGGACGTTTTGTCTTTTGATCTATGGTCAAACCATGATGGGTAAAACTAAATGATAAATGCAAATACGGGTCATGTTTGACTTGCAGGAGGGGCACCTGTTAATGAAACCATTAGCAGTTCATTTATTCTACATTTTAAGACACGTTCACACTCTTAAATCTCAATTATGCTTTTGCTTGGCTCTTATTATTGGTCAATGAGTATTTTTGGCGTGGCCTAAATTGACCAAAGTATTTTGAATCATTTTAGTAATTTAAACGTAACTCAGAATTTATTATCGTTAGATTTTGTAAAATATTTAATTTTCTATGTATTTATTTTTTATCATTACCTTTTTAAATATATAGCGTCTTCATTTAATGGTTTTATAACTTCTATTTTGAACAATTTGCCATCTCAGCTGCGCAAGCCAGAAGAAAGAAACAAAAATGTTAAAGCTATAAATAAATGCATCGATGAATAAATAAATTGATTAATTAATTAAAGATCGATGGCATCTGAACAAATCTCATGAAATCGACAGCGTACGGTGGACGGCGAACGGCGTACGGCTTAGAGTAGATAAGATTTTTCAGTTGACTGTCAGTTACGCAAGGTATTCCTTTTTAACCCTCTCGGAGGTGATTAAGATGTAACTTCTCCCCATAATATTTGTACATCAGCCAGCAAACAAGTAATGAGAATACTCAAAATTATCAGGTAGAAGGTGTTGTCCTGCTCTAACACCAAATTCCCGTTACCTATTTACAAGGAAGTGTTTAGCAACAAGGAAGGAGAATTAACAATCGAATCCTCTAGGTTTCTATTGTTGAACAGATATCATCAAGTTAACTCTTCGATACCAAAGCAAGCCTCTTACCTCCAGTGGCACTGGAAAATGAATTTTTCTGTCGAGTTTTTCTTACTTCCTTGGCCAACATAATGACCAGCTCCCAGTTGGCTTGTTAGGTCAGTTGGTAGAGCACTGCACCCGTATCGCAGAGGTCATGGTCTCAAATCCTGTATGGTCCTGAAATTTTTTTCAGGCCTTATTTCCACAACTACATAAGTAGGGTTTATTACTGCGAGGATCGCTTTCGCTTATTTCATGAAGTTGCAGTACACATATATAATTTTCGTATATTCAAATTCATATTACACATACATATATGTATAGGTACATCATTATGTATCCACAGTAGTTGTTAATGCTATCCAGTCTTTGAATCACCGGGGCCTCTTGTTAAATTTTGGTTATGTAATTAATTTTTTGTAGGTGTGCATCCAGTGTATCATAGGGCTGATCATAGCCTGCCTAGGTGTGGCTAGAATGGCTGGAGAATTTAAAGAAATTAGAGTAGCTGCTGAAATGGCCAACAAGTGAGTCAAATACATAGTGATATGTCTGAAGGTTTGTAAGATACTTGAGAAAAGGAAAGTACTTTGCTCTGAAGTAATTTGGCTATATCAACTAAGTTGAAATTGTAAATTGGCCACAATAACGAACAAATTGTATTCGTTACGGGGGGCCAATTTACAATTTCAACTTAGTTCATACAACCAAAATACCTTGTTACCCCCACCGACGCAGCACCACAGTTTCTTTAGAAACTTTCAGCCTTTATCCATTTGCTCTGAAGTAGCTTACTATCATTGGTAACTGTTCTAGTCGCCCGAAAGTCATCTCACCTGAATTCATATTGCCCAAACCGGAGTCAAGTCGCCCCATACTTTAAGTCATGTCGCCCGAAATCAAGAGTCGTGTCGCCCGACGAAACAATTACTTAAAAGATCAGACTAGGCAATGAAGTTTAGAAATTTTAATCACTAAAGCGCTGATCGTTTCCGACAACGCCATGGAGAGAATGATCAGATTAGGAAT